CAGCAGCTGGGACGGAAGCTGGGGAGACGCCTGCGGAGGGCGGGGTGGGAACCTGAGAGCCCACGCAGGTGTCAGTGGAAGGAGGACCCCCTGCCCGCCAGTCTAGACAGCCTGGGCCGTGGACGTGACCCCACGGAGACCCCCGCAGGGCTCTCGCTGTCGCTGCACACCCCCATAACGGGCTCTTTGTCAGGTCCTGACATGCAATAACACTGCCTCGCCCCCACCCCGTGTCCCCCTCACCCCAGGCCCATGTGCACACACAAGGGCATACGCACAGGGACATATGCACGCTGGGACACATTGGGGACATACACACATATCAGTATGTACAGAGAGACACACACACACAGGGACGCCAAGGGGTGCACATATAGGAACACATGCATGGATGTACATACAGAAACAGGCACAGGGACACACACACACGGGCACACAGGCCACCAGACGCCCCTTGGGAGCATGGAGAGTCTGACCTGGAAACCTCCTACCCCTTGTTCTTCAACTTGACGGCGGAGTGGCCTCCGTCCGCAGTTTACCATCTGGCTCCGGTGGGACCTCTCACCTCCGACCCTGACCCCCAGACCTGGGCCAGCTGCCCTACCTTCCTGGCTCTCAGAGTGGGGGTGGGGGCAGGGCCGTGGGTCAGCGTGGCTTCTGGAGGGCTGCCCTCCTACCCCTGTCACCCACACCCCCCTGCCCGGACAGACCCTCCCAGCTGCTGTCGGGTGTGGTGGCGTGGGATTAGGGGGTCCTAGGGACTAAAGATGAAGAGGTCTGCTGAAAGACACTCCCTCCTGCACCAGGGCTCAGGGTTGGGAGGGGGAGAAGACAGCCCTCACCTCCCACCCTGAGGGACTTCAGAGTCAGAGGAGCCACTGACCAGAGGCCCCATGAGCCCCCCAAAAGGCCCCAGCAACAGTCAGCCCCTGGCCTGCCGGCCCCAGGTCCAAGCAGTGAGCTGCAGACAGACAGGAGGGGAAGGGCTCCAACACCCTCAGAGCTGCCCGCCCAGTCAAGGGCCAGCCCTGGCCCAGCCGGGCTGAGGGGACAGTCACCAGTCACAGAAGGGAGATCCAGTGTAAAGTGCCGGACACACAAACAGGCAGATCCAGACAGTTCGAGACAGGCGCACACGCGGGGCAGGAGACCCAGAACCAACACAGGCGCCGTGAGGGGCACAGTGAGACCCAGACAGGCGACCAGGGCTGACAAAGAGACAGGCGGACCCAGACAGACACAGAGGGCGGGAAGCCTGTGCGGACCACAAGCAGACAAAGGGAGACAGTCAGACCCCGGGTCCCCTCCCCTTGGCTCCAGCCCCGCCCTCTTGCCCCAGCCCTGCCTTCCTCCCTGCCCAGATGAGAACCCGGCTCCCCAAAAGGTGCCTTCCTCTGTCTTGGGGATACCCCTTACAGGGCGCTCCCTCCTTGGCAGGTCAAGGCCAAAGCCCTCGGAGAGAGCAGAGAGGACACACAGAAGAGGCATCTGGGGACACCCCCCACCCCTGCCAGTGTGGCCAGAATGTCTCATGCCTGATGCCCCTGACAGCCTCGTTAACAGCAACAAAGCTCTCGAGGAACCACTGAACTCAGAGCCTCAACTTTCCCATTGATAAAATGGACATCCCAGTAACAAGGCGATGTCTGTAAACTGTTCCCATCGTCGTCGTCGTAAAAATAACCTCTGTGCTGCCCAACTCACCCTCCTCCCTTCTGGGCATTAGAGCCACAACCCTGTTCTCCCTGGGAAGGACCTGAATACTTGGGGGAGAAAGGAGAAGCAGCCCCGATACCCCCACATCTGAATGGGAAGCTGCTGGCCGGGGTGGGGAAGGGCGCCCCACCTCGAGCTCCAGACTAGGGGGTGGAACGTGACTGCGTGACGGAGACCCCCGCCCTGGGCGAGAGGGCAGGCTGGGGGTGGGGGAGGGCGCCATAAAGTCGGGGGGGGGGGGTTCATGTATTTCGGGAGGGCAGGAGGGCGAATCCTGCTGGGATCTGGCTCCAAGGGGGGCCTAGATAGTTCGGTTAGGGGGAGGGCCCGGTCGGGGTGGACCTTAGGTGGACTGGGCTCCATGGAGGCAGCCTTGGGGACCCCTTAGGGACGCAGTGCGCGGGGCTCTGAGAGAGCAGACTTTAGGGGCAGGACCTCGGGGGCGGGGCTCTGTGGCCTGGGGCGCTCCCAAAGCGGCCACCTGGGGCGCCAGAAGGGGTGGGCTCTGGGGACGGAGCCCAGGGGCGGGCCATAGGGGAGCTGGGCTCTTAGAGCACCCGCTCAGGGAACGGGTTTTATGGGGGTCGAGTTTGGGAGCGGGGTCCGCGGGAGTAGATATGGGAGGGCTTTCGAGAGAGTGTCCTAGGGACAGCTGGAAAGTGACTGGGCTCGAAGGGGCGCGTCTAGGGCAGGAATCTGTGCTGGTGGCTTCCAGGGGGCGGGTCTCTGGGCGCAGGCTCTGGTGGGGCCCTCGGGGGCGGAGCCAGGGCGATGCGCGGGGTCGTCCGCCTCCGCCGCCGAGGGCCGTAGTGGGGTTCCCCCAAGCTCACTTAGGTGTCCTTGATCCGCCTCGGGATTATGCCACGAAGTTTCTTTGGGGCCCAATATTCCCCTCAGTGAAATGGTAGGGGCCAGAAAATTTGAAGGCTCCTTCTTCCCAGGCGGCCCTCGGGGTCCCCAGACCCAGGTGGCGTAGGGGACGTGCTTTCCTTTTCTTGGTCACTGCTTGAGCAGCTGGGGGGCGTTGCTGCAGGCCTGGGCCTGGGGACGCCCGAGAGGAGGGAGGAACCGTCAGAGAGGGGGGCGCCGAACTATGCGTGATTGTGCGCTTGCGCGCTGACTCCAGAAGCTCCGCGTTCAGGTGCTGAGACCCCGCAGGCAGTGGCCTTCCCCCGTCCGGTAGGATCCCCGCACTTGCAAAGTGGAGATAGCTGACAACCCCTGCGGAGTTGTTTCGATTCATAAACAATGTGCCGGGAACACAGCGAGGCTCAGGGAAGCTATTACATTGTATTAAAATGACTTGTTTATCTCTATGTTGCATCAATGCCCCCCGGTGGCCAGACTTCCCGGGGCCACTTCTTGGAATCCCGCCTCCTCCTCCACCTCTCCCTATAGCAGTGCCCTTTGGCCTCAGTCTCCCCAGTTGACGAATGGGGGTAATATGCACCCCCAGGGGTGTCTTGGGGATTACTTAAGTAAACTTCGAGGGCACTGCTACATCTGTGCAGCAAAGGCTACATAAATATTTACTGTTTATTAATATATTTGCCTTGTGTTTTTCACAGATCGAGGAGTAGACAGTTGGCACCACCTAATAAATGTTTGCTGACTTAATGAAAGTCAGTGGGACCCTTAACTCCCTTCTCTGCTACCCCTTCATCCTATCTGGTTCCCTCCCGCTACCCCGCCCCCAACTCCAGGTCCCCGAGATCCGCCAAGGGTTTGGGGGAACATTCAACCTGTCGGTGAGTTTGGGCAGCTCAGGCAAACCATCGACCGTTGAGTGGACCCCGAGGCCTGGAACTGCCGTCCTCTCGTCCATCCAGCTGTGATTCCCCCAACCTTCCAGAACTGGGGGTGGGCCAGGGGAGCCCCCTGATCCAGCCCGAGCACCTCCTCTCCCTTAGGCCACAGCGAAGGTCACAATCAACATTCATTGTTGTCGGTGGGTTGTGAGGACAGAGGCCAGACCCACCGGGGGATGAATGTCACTGTGGCTGGGCCAGACATGGCCTAAGGGGGATGGGAGAGGAGTGAGGACCAACCCGCCCCCCAGAATCACTCAGCCTGTTCCTTGCCCTGATGCCAGACACTCTGGGCCCCTTGGGGAGAGGGTGGTGTCTGGGATCTGGATGGACACGGATCGGATTGGGGGCATAAATCCTGGAGGTGGGGGTGGGGAAATCAGAGGCTTGGGGCCGGCGACGGGAAACCCTTTCAGAAAGGGGGCGGTGAATTCTGCTCCCCAGAGAGCTCAGGGAAGGTTTCTTAAATGGATGGGAGTCTGGGTGGGTAGATGACTGGGGTGTGCAGGCACCACAGTCCTGTCTTCTCTGTGTCCAAGTCCTGGGCCCACCTCTGTACCCTCCTAGCTCGGTGTGTCCAGACCCTTGCTCTCCACGCATCTGGGCGCTACTAGATCCTTCCAGCTGGGAGTCAGCTGGGTGACTCTTTAGGCACACCCACCCTTTTGAGAGCGAGCTGAGGTCTCATTTGAGGGGGGTTGGGGGGAACCAAAGAGCTGCAAGTGCTGAGGGTCCCACTAGCCCCACCTGGCTTCTGCTCTCCCCTACCCCCTCCTCCAGAGTGTTTTGTCTCCCCACCTCCCCACCCTGGGCCAGGGGTCCTCCCCAGCACCCAGCCTCAGGGGGCTCCGGTAACTGGGAGGAGGAGGCAGATTTTGAGCTTATCTTTATACATAACCTCAAGGACCGGTAACTTCAGACGTCAATTTGCTCATCCATTAAATGGGAGTTCCACTGAGACAATGGATGTGAAAACTCCCCAGGGAGGCCAGAGCTGGGGAGGGTGGTCCTTGTCACTCTGGCCCTTGAGCCAGGGGCTACCTTCCTTCCAGAGACAGTTGGAGCATCAGCATACCGCCCCCACAAAGAGCCCAGGGGCACCTGGCCCCTCCCCAGCCCAAAGCAGGAAGAAAGAAGTTACTAAGTTACTGGTCACTTCAGTGCTAGTCTTTGGGGGAGGTGTTCCCAAGGCATCTACCCACCCCCATCACCCAGTGGGGCCGGAGAGGGAGGCAGGATAGCCCCCTGTGCTCTGCCGGTGTTGGGATTTGTGGCACTACATCTCCGGTTGCCTGGTGCAGCCTCTGTCCTGCTGTCCCCCGGCCCACCCGGAGACTATGAATCCCCTTGGCAGGTGCATTAACGGGGCACCAAGCCCCCCTGTGGCAATAAGGAACCTCCCACAGCCCGCTCCTCCCCCTTCACACCCCCTTGGAGGTAAAAGGAGGGAATAGACAGCCCAGACTCCCCGGCTCCAGAAAGGGGAAGGGAGGGGCAGTGGGGCAGGGGCAGAGGAGGGAGCTTGGGCCACGCAGGGTTTCTTCTCTCTCTGCCCCTGTGCCTGGCACCTGTGGCCCAGCTATGGGGACCTTCGACCTGTGGACTGATTACTTCGGTTTGGCACGCCTGGTTGGGGCTCTGCGTGGGGAAGAGGAACCGGAGACCAGGCTGGACCCCCAGCCAGAGCCAACGACGAGCCCGGAGGGTCAGGAGCCCAGCCCAGAGTCATCGTCAGCCCCTGAACGCCTGTGTTCCTTCTGCAAACACAACGGCGAGTCCCGGGCCATCTACCAGTCCCACGTGCTGAAGGATGAGGCAGGCAGGGTGCTGTGTCCCATCTTGCGCGACTACGTGTGCCCCCAGTGCGGTGCCACGCGTGAGCATGCCCATACCCGGCGCTTCTGCCCGCTCACCGGCCAGGGCTACACCTCCGTCTACAGCTACACCACCCGAAACTCGGCCGGCAAGAGGCTGGTCCGGCCTGACAAGGCGAAGACGCAGGACACCGGCTACCGCCGAGGAGGAGGAGGAGGAGGAGGAGGAGGAGGAGGAGGAGGAGGAGGAGGAGGAGGAGGAACAGGTGGCTGCACAGGTGGTGGGAATCTGCTGTGGAGGGGACTTGTCCCAGGCCTTACCAGCACCCATCTCTGAGGGTTTGGGGGAGATCATCTGCGTAGAGAGCTTAGAACAGCATTCTAGAAGTGTTGCCAGGGTGGGGAGCTGGGACCAGGGTTTGCTGTGTGATCTTGGGCAAGTTGCTTTCCTTCTCTGGGCCCATGGGGAAAATGCCGTCCTTTCCCAGGTATGGAGTGGTCTGGCAGGGAGACCCTCGGGCAGGTACAGCAGGTGTTCCAGTTCTGCTTGGCAGTTAAGAGCTGTGTGGCCTGAGAGAAGTTACTCAGCCTCTCTGAACCTTGGATTCACCATGTGTTCACTCATTTGCCAAACAGTTTGCATGCCCGGCAGTGCACAAGGTGGACCGAGGGGGCAGGGGGGCAGTTAAAACACAGGGTGCGGAGTGCTTAGTGAGGGGGTTTAGAGGAAGCGCCTGACTCAGGTGAGGGTGTCCTGCAAGAAGTGACTTCGGGTAGCCTAATTCAGTTCTTTGGAGGGCTGGGAAGTGTGGCTTAGGCATTGGGGCTTGTTCAGGAGCTTAGTGGAGTTTGGAGTGGCTGGGGTGAGGGAGTGTGTACTTGTACGGTGGAGGGGAGGTGTCAGATTTCAGGGGACAGCTAGGGTCCTTGTGGTCCTTGGGGAGGGTCACTTAAAGTTTGGACTTGGGCATTAGGGAGCCAGGGGGGCGAGACCAGGTCTGCGTGCGACAGTGAGCTAGACCATGGCTGACTGGGTTTCAGGGCATTGGAAGCTGCGGTGGCCCTCCAGGCAGAGGTGTCCAAGGCAGTGAGGAGAGACAGGAACAGTAGGTTGGACAGGTGCACCCTGTTTTGAATTTGCTCTGTGGGGGGTCAGCTCAGGAGGCCAGCTGGAGCTGAAGCTTAGGACAGAGCCTAGGCCCTCCTTAGACTGCACGTCTTGTTCTTCAAATGCAAGTTCCCACCCCCAGGTGTGGGTGGGGCCCAGGCATCTGCATTTCTAACCTGCTCCGCGAACGGAAGCTTTGAGCAGCCCGGGACTGAAATCGCAGGGTTTACTATCATAGATGCAAAAGACCTCAGTTCCTGTGGGGTTTTAAAAGAGAAACCCGTTCTAGCAACTTTAGTGGCCTTCGAGGAAGTCAGCCAGCAGAGGCAGCAGGTCTGACTCGGCACGTTTGGGCACCGCCTCCCAGTGGCACAGCCGGCAGTGAACACTTGTCAGGCGTGACAGGGACTCTAGAAGAAGACAGTATTCCCTGGGAGGTTTGATTAGGGCCCACTGCCAGGCGCTAGAAGCCGATGATGGTCTCCTTTTTTTTTTCTTTTACCCCCTTAAGTCCTAGGGAACAGGAAAACTTGTCTCCGGGAGTGGAGGGTGGGGCGGGGGCGCCCTCACCACGGTATTGGCACAGAAAGGCTGCCGGCGCCCGGCCGCCCGGATTAACTTGTTCTGGGCGTAACAGATCCCGGAACCCCAGAGCCCGGCGGCCACCAGGAGGCAGCACGGTCACCGGAGTCGGAATTCCTGTGCTTTGTCTTGGGCTCTGGGTCCCACCCAGGCCAGGAATGTCCCCGGTTGCTATCTTAGGAGCAGCCCCTGGGTGGCGCCAGAGCCCCGGCAGCCGTTTGGGCTGAGCCCAGAGTTCTCCGGGAGGACCGATCGGTGCCCGTGATTAAGTGCTTCTCCCCCTCCCCCTCTGCTTTAACATCCAGGTTCCAAAGGTGCCGGCAAGTCCGGACCATCGTCCTCTTCCTGCTGCCCCTCCACTTCCACCTAGGAGGCCGCCTTCCCCGGGGACGTGGACCCAGGCGCGGTGGTGGAGGCTGGATTTCCGGGAAGATCTACCCTATGAGGACCCGCCCCTAGACCTTTCCTTGTGTGTGCTGGGGGGATGGCGGCTGTTTGGGGCTGCCAGGGAACACCCTCCATCCCCTCCCCACCCCTGTAAGGAGTCGGTTCTCGGTCACCCCGCCCTCCCTGCCAAGCTGAGAGCCCAGCGACAGTCTATGCTGCTCACAGCTGTCATCTCCACCAGTGCCGGGCACCCAGTCAGCGCTCAATAAATGCTTATGACTGGATCAACTAACGTCCGAAAAGGCCTGGTCTTGGGACAAGGACGGTGCTATACCTGGACCTCCTTCCCCCACCCCTACGGTTGTTTGAATTTCAGTTCACCCCTGGGTGTAGGGGAGCTGCCTCGTGCCAAGAAACAGGAGTGGGTGCCACAGGGCAGTTGTGGGGTTCCAAGAGGCCACCCAGCGCGGCCCCTCTGAACACACCACTTGGGGCCAGGTCAGCATCGTGATGCCCTTTCTGCAGACATCACAGCCACCCCCTGCGTGTTGACACACAAGACTGGCAAACTCCCTCCACCCACCCCCCAGCCCTGCACTGGGGGTGGGGGCTTGATTTAGGGGGGAAATTGAGGATCGATTAGACCGAGCCTTCCCCCAGCTTCCTCACTGAGGAGCCCCCGGTGAGTGTTTATGTCACTGGATGCCCCAGTGCCTAGGAGCCAAGTGCCAAGCAGTCCAGGACAAGGAGGGGACACATGGGGGCAGGGGGGGACCATGTCCTGAGGGATTGGATTGGGCAGGGGCAGCAGTAGTCTAGATGAGCTTGGGCAGGAGCTCGAGAGCGATGGGACCCTGTTCTGGGGGTGCGGGGGGCTGCCCTCGGGGGAATCCCCCCTCCCCCGCCTGCTTCCTCCACCTCCAGACCTTGTCCCACTGGGACAGTGGGTGGTGATGCCCTAAACTGGCCCCAGGGGCTGGGCTCCAGCCCACTCGGCCTCCCAGGGCTGGGTAGGGGAACAGGAATTGGACTTCATGGGTCCCCTCTGCCTGGGGATGGGAGCTGCTAACAGTCCTTGAGGAGGGCCTGCCACCTAGACCTGGAGGGGAGAGGGGAGGAAGGAAACACAGAAAGACCCCAGCGGCCCCAAGGGTCTGTGACTCAAGTTGGGTGGGACACACCCTGCCACCTGTCTGCAAACGGCTAACTGCATAGGTCAGAGCAGCTGGGGCGTGGCCTTGCAGGTGGGGGGCCCTGGCCTGCCTGGCTGTCCTATACTGTGTCCCCTGGGTATGGGGGGGTACTATGCCTTGGCCGTGGGAGGCCAGGTGCAGGAGCCACAGGCAGAGCCACTAATGACATCTCGGGTCTGGTCAGCCTTGCAGTGAGCGATTTCACAGAGACAGCGGTTTCTGAAAGCTGGGGAAGACGGCACCTGGCGCCGTGTGCGCCCAGAGCTGTGTCATCTCCCAGAATCGCTGCCTTCCTGGCAGGGCGCCTGGAAGCAGCTTGTCCCGTGGAGGTCGGGCCGGGCCATCTGAGTGCTGGACTCAGACTCTCCAGCTGGGTGGTCACCCACGGTGTCTCAGTGGGCTTGCTGCTCCACAGACACCCGGTGTGTGCTCGAGTGTGTGCGCGGACACAGCTGCCTGCTCCTGGACGGACACTCGCCCGACTGGCCTTCCCAGGGAGGCCGAGGAGTGAAACTCCAGCAGAAAGAAGTGGTCAGAGAGGCTGGGCGGGACATCGAATGTCCCAACCCCAAACAACAGGTCAGGGGGCCTCATGACAGATCATTTATTACTGGTCTTCCCAGGAGCACTAAAATGAAAATGGAGAGAAAGACAACAAAGGAACCCTTTTCTACTTAGGAAAGACACAAATTCTGAACGTTCCATAACCTCAGCTCAGGGGCTGCCTGGAGCGGCTGCAGCTGTGGGGGACACAGGCTCCCTCCCCCTGTGCCAGGCTGGCGGGGGCAGGACCCCAGGGCCTCCTGTGTGTGTAGCTCGTGCAAGGCTGACTGCCACGTTGGCTGAGGGGAGCTTACCGGGCCACTAGGACCCCCTGGAGCATCTTGGAGGGGAAACAAAACACCAGGTGGCCTGCACAGGCACGGGCATGGGCATGGGCATGGGCATGGGCTGGGGTGCAGAGGAAACATTCGCGTGCGTACACACACACACACACACACACACACACACACACACACACACAGACGCCTCGCTGTCCAGTCCCCTGGGAAGCAGCCTACAAGTCCCTCCAGGGTTGCTCCCCCCGGGGCACATTCCCAGCCCCCTTGGAGGAGTAGGGCAGGGGGGCTTTCCCTGCCAGCTTTGCCTTGCGGTAGCCCAGGCGCTTGAAGACTTCTAGGTCGCGGTGGGCACTCATGATCAGCCGGCTGCAGCAGAAACGGGCAGGGCTGTGAGGGGCTCGTCCGCAGGCAACAGAGGAGACCGCGCCTCACAGCGAGCAGGTCCGGGCTGCTCGCGCGCGTGCACACGGCCAGAATTGGCCCCTTGCAGACCAGGCTGGGACGGCCCCTCTGCCCACCCTAACAGCTCTGCGCTGAAGGTCTACGCACAAGGGCGCAGCTGCAGTGGAGGCCCAGCCCTCACCGCCCACCTTGGGGTTTGCACCTCAGTCTCTCCCTGCCCCACCGGGCCCTCCTGCGGCCCTGTCCCCTCCGCCCATCCCCTGTGGGTCCAGCCCAGCTCTTACTTCAGGTTGGACAGCTCAACAACGAGGCCACGCACGACGTCTGTGGCATCCTCCATCCCGGAGGCCTCAAGGGCCTGGATCCCCACACTCGTCCTGGCGGGAAGAGAAGGAAGTCGAGGGGCAGGGCCTTCCCTGGGCCTCGGGCCATCTTCTGTTCCACATGTCCAGCCTGCCCTTCTCTGGTCACCGGCACAGCCCTGACAGCCCAGCCCCCGAGCTCTACTCACAATCCGACCACTTCTGACTGCTGCCACCACCTCCTCCGGCTCCCAGCTCCTCGCCCTACAGCCTGTCTGCCGCACAGCACCGGGGGCTGTGACAGTGGACACCTGGCCCAGCTGCAGTCCCTCCTGAGGCTCTGCACCCCCTCGGATGTGGGACGGACAGAAGAGTGGGGGCCTCCCTGGCTGGGCAGGGGTTGCCCTCCCTAAAGCCACCGCAGCCCAGACCTGGCGGCGCCCTCAGGGCTGTCAGGAGGGAAACCCGGGTCCTCCTGCACCTGCCTGTGGCGCCCTATGAGTCTCATTCACCCTCGGGATATGGAACTGGACCCTAGGACCCTCTCTGGGGGCTTCCAGACATCCCTGGGAAGGGGTCACATTGACCCAGTGAGGCCGCTGGAGATTCAGACATGAAATCTCCCTCCTGTTTGTTCAAACAATAGTGGGGCCACTTTGACCAACCTGCCTCTGGTCCAAGTGCAGACTGCGTATGGGGTGCAAGGAACACAGCAGGTACCGGTCCCAGCGGGTGTGCGAGGGCAGGAGGTGGGAACTCGGCCACCCTCTGCTGAGAGGAGCGGGAGGGGGGCCACACACAGCTAAGGGCTGTGTCCCAAGTCCTCCTCCACGCTTGCCAGACAGAAACAGAAACTTGGCCATAAATAATGGATAGGCTGCCGCCTGCGCAGAGAGGCAGGTTCAAGTACACGGTAATAGGAGAGGACACCTGCCCAGTGCTGGCCGCGGGCAGGGCTAGGGAAGGACGCGAGAGGAGGGCATGGTGCGGGGCGGAGCAGGAGATGCCCTCCTCTCTCTCTCTCTCTCTCACACACACACAGCAGCTGGAGGGACGGCGCACCTGGTGGCCCTCCTGGGGTGGACAGTCAACTGGGGAGGTGAGGAGACGAGGGCAGGTCAGAGTCCCTTGAGCCCCTGCCCAGTGCCAGCCCTGGGAATGGCACCAACATGCCATTGGCTCTGAGCCATGTCTCCTTTCCCTCCACCGAGACGCCAGGAAAGTTCTGGCCCCTCTTCCCAGAGACCTACGTGCATGCACTGAAACCACCCGCAGGGCTGGGGGCACCGTCCCAGAACTCCCAGAGGGAGATGTTGCTTTGGGTGCAGATCGCTGGTCTCCCACGTCTGGGAGCAGGGGGCACCCGCGGTTTGAAAGATGGGGCTCAGCTCCCTTATGGGATGGAGGAAAGGAAGGCCCAGTGAGGTCCATCACCCTCTTTGGGAAAACGGGTGAGGGTCCTGGAGCTGTGTCCCACCCACCCTGCACCTACCTTGGCTGGGCCTTGGCCATTTCGGTGGGGTCTCCATTGGTACATGGGCTGGGGCCAGGCCTGCCAGGGCCCAGCCTGCTCCTCGCAGGAAACAGCTGGAAAGAGAGAGCACAACGTGTGAGCACACCGACTGGGCAAGCCCTGCAGGGGGAAGCAAAAGTCACACCCCGACTTCTGCGGGAGAAACATGGAGGTGAGGGGGAACCGTGATGGCTGCACCTGGGCCGACCAGCTGGGGCCGCCCTCACCCTCCCCCCTCAAAAAGAAAGCGGACGTGGCAGTGGCAGTGCCGGGCCTGGCTGTGGTATCTCCTCCTGGGCCCGGACCCTTCTGCAGGCTGCTGTGTGGCGGGTGGCGCCACCAAGTTCTCTGGCTCTGACACTGCTGCAGTCTCCTGCAAGTTTGTGTTTTGTTTTGGACACCGGTTCTCTCTCTGTCACCCTGGCTGGGGTGCAGTGGCGTCATCACAACTCACCACAGCCTTGAACTCCTGGGCTCAGGTGATCCTTCCGCTTCAACCTCTTGAGTAGCTGGGACTATAGGCACGAGCCACAGCACCCAGCTTGGAAATATATATACATTTTTTTGAGATGAAGTCTTGCTCTGTCACCCAGGATGGAGTCTGGTGGCAAGATCACAGCTCACTGAAGCCTCGAATTCCTGGGCTCAAGCGATCCTCCTGCCTCAGCCTCCTGAGTAGCTGGGACTACAGGCAGGCACCACCACGCTTGGCTAATTTTTAAAAATATTTTGTAGAGGTGGGGTCTTGCAGTGCTGTCCAGGCTGATCTTAAACTCTTGACCTCAATCAATCCTCCCACCTCAGCCTCCCAAAGTGCCAGATTAGAGGCGTGAGCCACCACGCCTGGCCTCAGCTTCTTAAATGAGTCCGTGTGCTGCCTGCGCAGGTTCCACTGGCCAGAGGGTGGGTGCAGAGATGCTATGAGAAGGTGACACCAAACTCTCCTGTGAGGAGATGCTGGTTTGAGGATTGAAACCTGTGTCACTGCTGTATAACTTTCGAGTCCCCTCCTCTAACACAGCGTGTGACCCTGGTGAGGTCTGCAGGAGGCCGCTGTGACCATCCTCTCAATCTTTGCTCTGTTCCCAGGTGCCTCTGCCTTCCCGCCAGGGGCCATCCGGAACCTTCCCACGGGAACGTGCTCCTTGCCTGGGTCGCCCTGACTTGCTCGGGAACGCCCAGTGTCAAAACCAAACACGCCCGGACATCGGTGGTGTGTCAGGGCGGCGCCTCCTCCCCCAGCTGGGGAAAGGCGGTGACGCTGGTTGTTTGCCCCCGGTTCCCCAAAGTCCGGACTTCTTTGACCTTTTCGAAGCTTTGGCGGCCTGTTCTGCAGGGGCTGCCTTCTTCGCCTGCTGGATGCCACCTGGGCACGCCCAACCCCACACGTCCCAAGCATGTCCCAGCCTTCTCTCCTAGCCGCTTTCCTGTGAGGCCAGAGACTGGAGGCAACTCTTCTCCCCGAGTGCGGGATTTGCATTTTTCAAGGGATGAAAATAAAATCTGACCTGTTTCCAGCACCTGACCTGAACTCCTACCTTTCCCAAGCGCTGGTGTTTAGACCGTGGCCGAACCACACTGCTTGCTTTCAGTGATCTTATTCATCTGGTGATGATGACAACCTGAAATGGGCGGGCCTAAGGAGCCCAGGATGGCAAAGAGGGGACACTGTGCCCTCTGTGTGGCAGGAAGGGCTGAAAAATCACAGCACAGGCTGGCACCGCAGAGGGTCACAAAGGACCCCTGGAAATCCCTTAGGAAAGCAGTGCCTTGGAGACCCACAGCCACCTCTTGACAAGCCAGACCCAGCCACATTCCCCTCCAAAGTGGGAACAGCTGCTGCCTCTTCAGCTGAGCACCAGATGAAATCCTTCACTTGCATGTGGGAATGTGTCCTGTGACAACACTCTTTAGCTGCCGGAATGAGATGGTACAAAATGCTTGTTCTGGGGGATGTAGGCAGGAACGGGGTTACCACAGACCCCACAGGGCAGGGGGACACGTATGATCTGTTCACTACTGTCACCTGGCACAGAGCAGGCTCTCAAGAAATATACTGAATGAATTATTTTTTTGAGACCGTCTTGCTCTGTCGCCCCAGCTGGAGTGCAGTGGCATCATCATAGCTCACTACAACCTCAAACTCCTGGGCTCAAGTGACCCTCCTGCCTCAGCCTTCCAAGTAGCTGGAACTACAGGCATGCACCACAACACCTGGCTGATTTTTCTATTTTTTGTAGAGACAGGGGTCTCACTCTTGCTCAGGCTGGTCTCGAACTCCTGGCCTTAAGCGATCCTCCTAATTCAGCCTCCCAAAGTGCTGGGAGCCACAGCGCATAGCCTGAATGAATTTTGTTTAATATCTCAACAGAGATAACCAAACAAACAGAGGCTGGCATTGGAAAAGCTGATCGGTCGCCGTGTTCCAGAACAGGGCAGCTGGGGTGTGGCTTCAGACTTGGGCGGACCTGGGCGCAAACCCAGCCTCCCGCTCTCCCACCTGCCTCACCTCCGCCAGGTGCATGGCCTCTTTTCAGCCTCTTCGCTGCCGCACCCCGTGTGTGGGAAGAGAACCTCCTACCTCCCAGGGCCCAATGGTAAAGCCCTCAGCCCAGGCTCAGGTGTGGCAATGGTGGCACGGTCACGTTGCCACCTGCCTCGACAGGTGAACGCCAGTAGCTGCCACAGGTTCTGCAGTCAGGGAAGGCAACACCCGGGCAGCCTGCCAGTGGGCAGAGGCAAGGCTCTTAGAAATTCCAGCAGAAAAACAGAATTCTTTATCTATGTCTGAAAAAGAATCATACTGGGACTCCCCAGTGACCCTAAGTAGACAGGCAAAGGTTCATTTCCAGCTTGGGAGTGAAGTCCCCTCCACAGGCCCAGCTGTGAAGTCGCTGGCTGATTTGGAAAAAGGCGAAAGATTTATACAATCTGAAGAGAAACCAGAGCATAACTGGCTTATTCGGGTCACCCCTTTGGGTCCATCGCCCTCAGTATACCCCTCAGGAGCCTCTGGCCAGCGTCAGGTGCTGAAGGGGGAGCTGCCAGGGGCTGGCACCCCTGGGGGCTCCAGTTCAAGTGTAGGAGGGCCCTGGCTGACAAAGTACCTGTGTGTCACCACCCCGGGACTCCTCAGCAACCTCACGGGCAGGCCGCTTGCAGAAAGGCAGGTCTGCCCTTTCTGGAAAACCTGCCCAGCAGAGCTTCGACCCCGACAACTCCGAGTTTGCTGTGTACATGGGACCCTACAAACCCCACCTTCCCTCCACCGCTGGGCGGTTTGGGGAGAGGGCTCTCAGCTATTCGGTGCCTGCCCTGGGCCAGTCTGTAACTCAGAGCAGCTCTTACCTGCTCAGGCGGGGATTCAAAGTCGGAGGCGTCTAGTGCCTCCTGTATCTGGCTGTCCGGCAAGAAGTCGAGCTCCACGGCTAAGGAGCCCCCCCAGGTGGCCTGGTCTGCAGGATGAGGAGGATGGTCGGGCTGCAGTGCCCCTGGGTCCACAGGGGTGTCTGGACTGTCCTGGCGGGCCCGGGTCTCCCGAGGGCCATCCGCCGCTTCTTTGTGCTCCAGCGGACCAGAGGCTTGGAGGGACACACTGGGCCCCTTGGGGTCTTGTTCGTGGCTCCAGCTACCTAACTCAGCTGCCTCTTGGTCAGGGCCTGGCACCTGTTTCTGACTGACACCTGGACCTGTATCTGGGGCTAGATGGCCAGAATCTCCAGCACCCATTGTGGGCTCTTGGTTCCCAGGAACCAGAGCCAGGGAGGTCGCAGGGCCCACCAGGATGTCGCCAGGGGGCTTGTCTTCCTGCCCCACCTCCCCTCTGCCTCTTGAGGTGTCCCCGGTGAGGGGTGTGCAGCCTGGCAGGACCATCCTGTGGCCTCCGTCAGGGACCTTCCCCCCGGGAGAGGCAGGAGACCTGGCGTCGGCCTGCTCATCCAGCCCGGCCACCTCTAGGACCCTCTGTTCCACCTCTGGGGGGTCCATGCTCAGGTCTGCACTGACAACCTCCCCCAGGGAGGAGCATCCCGGGCTGCTGCGGCTCTGCTCTGCAACCCTGCCAGTCCCATGGGGTGTCTGCCACGGGTCAGGGAGATCCTGGGCCGCAAACCTGGGCTCTGGGCACCAAGTGGCAGGGCCCAGTCCCCGAGCAGGGTCTGAGGGAGAAGCTGATGCTGGGGCGCTGAGGACACCATCTCCTTCCTCCTGGGACCCTCCAGGCAGGTCAGCCTCTGCCCCCCTTTGGGCACCTCCCCTCTGGGGGGCTCCTCCGTCTGGCTCCTTCCCTCCAGCATCGCTGCTCAGTAGGTGCCCTTTCTGGCCACCACTGCTTGGAACCCAGGCCTTCTCTGTCTCAGGGCCGCTGTTCCCCGAGTTTCCGCCAAGCAGCATGTTGGTCCCAGGTTCCAACAGGTGGTCCTGGCTGGCCATCTGTGGGGCAGCAGGCCCTGCCCCACCTTCTGGAGAGGCCTTGGGTTGAGCATCCCCACGGCTGGGCAGGGGGTTCGCGGGGTCCTGGCTGCTCTGCTCAGGACAGGCGCCATCTGCCTGCATCGGGTCCCTGCCCTCCTGGACAGTGAGCCCCAGGGACTCCTCCCGCTGCCGGCTTCCTGCCTGCCAGGCACTAGGCTCTGGAGGCGTTTCCTGTGGAGACAAAAAGACTCAGCCCTGGGGACCTTCAATCATCAAGCACGCTGAAGAATTTTCTAGTCATTATTGCCCCTGTCTAAAGACTCAGATGCTGGCACCGACCGTTGAGCACCAAAATAGGCATCAGTACCAGTACGGAAACCTCTCCTTCCACCAGGTTCTTCTCCCTGCCAGCACTGGGCACTTGGGAGGGTCAGGGGTATAAAAACCAAGGTGGCATGCACATTGCACCAATGTCAACTGCCTGGGTTTGATGAGGGGCTGTAGTCACGGGAGGCGTTACCATTGCAGGAAGCTGGGAGAGGGAACATTGGAGCCTCTCTCTGTACTGGTTTTTCTTTTTTTTTTTTTTTTAACTATGGTAAAAAAACACATAAAATTTGCCATCTTAACTTTTTTTTTCTTTTGAAACAAGGTCTCACTCTGTTGCCTGGGCTAGAGTGCAGTGGTGTCATTGTAACTCATTGCGGCCTCAAAGTCTTGGGCTTAAGCAATCCTCTCGCCTCAGCTGCCCTGGCTTTTAATTTTTTTTGTGTGGAGATGGGGGTCTCGCTATGGTGCCCAGGCTAGTTTACCATAATTTTTCTTTTTAACTCACTTGGCCAGGCACAATGGCTCACGCCTATAATCCCAGCACTTTGGGAACTTGAGGTAGGCAGATTGCTTAGGGCCAGGAGTTTGAGACCAGCCTGGGCAACATAGCGAGACCCATCTCTATTTAAAAAAAAGAAAAGAAAAACTAGCTAAGCGTGGTGGTGCATGGCTATAGTCCCAGCTATTCAGGAAGCTGAGGCAGGAGGATCACCTGAGTCCAGGAATTCGAGGCTGCAGTGAGCTATGATCTTGCCACCGCGCTCCAGCCTGGGCAACACAGTGAGACTCTGTCTTTGGAAAATAATAATAATAATAAAAACATTGTGGTAAAATACACCTAACATGAAATGTACCTAATAGCCTGCTGAGTTACAAACAGCCCTTATCATACATCTTCAATCCACAGTGACGTTAATGCCCCTCCTTGTTTTCAATAAAACTGTTAAATTTATGAGATCATTGTAAATTCACATGCAGCTGTAAGAAGTAATACACAAAGATCCTTCGTGTCTTTTACCCAGTTTCCCCAGTGGTAACCTCTTGTGTAATTCAAACACGGTATCATGAGCGGGATATTGACGGTGGTAAGATGCACTGGCCTTATTCAGATCTTCCCATTCGGACGTGTACTCGTTTGAGGATGTGTATTAAGTTCCTCGCAGTTCTGTTACCTGTGCAGGTTGGCGTATTTGCGTAGCCACCGCCCCAGTCAAGAACTGCACGGTTCTAACACTACAAGGATCCTTTTATACCGGCTGCTCTTTCCAGCTGCATCCAACTCCCACGCCCCACCCACCCTGTCCCCAACCCCTGGCTACCACGAATCTGTCCTCCATCTCTTTAATTTTGTCACTTCAATAACGTTATGTAAATGGGATCCTATGGTAGGTAGCCTTTTGGGACTGGCTTTTCCCACTATGCATGATGCCCGGGAGATCCACCCGCATTGTCACGTGCATCACTAACTAGAGTTTATTCCTTTTGATTGCTCAGTCTTGTTTCCCAGTGGTTGGATCATGGTTTCTTGAACCCGTCAAAGGGTATCTGGGGTGTTCCCAGTTCGGGGTGATGGCAACAACAGCTGCTGTCAATGTTCACCACCTTTTTTTAGGGGCGTATGTTGCCAGAGGCTCATCATGAGTTCCCCCAGAACTCATGATGGGAAGGAAAAGAGAGCTGTAAGGGCGCTCCGACTTGCATAAAAGCCCCTGAGAAACAGAGGGGATCAGGGATAGAATGTGGGCTGCCTTTTCCAAAAAAATTATTATCTTTAATTGGCACACAATGCCTCTCTGAGATCTACTATTTCCATGCAACCTGGGGAAGAGGGCTCTGGCCTCGACCCGGCAGCGCAGGTGCAGCTGTCCTGAATGCTTCCAGCAGGCCCGTGAGCTCCCACCACCAAGGCAGGTGCGCACCCAACGAGCCAACTGTAGCTGCCATGTTCTGAAAATTACAGGTGGGGAGGGGCAGGCCTAGCCATGGCCAAAGAAAACCAAGGTTCAACGAGGCTGCATGTGTGCAGGGCTCTCCGGCGGTCAGGTTTCAGGGCCTTACCAGGCTGAAGGCCCCACTCCCGAGGTCCTCTTCCCTGGTCTCTGCTTTTCTTGCCACTGTCTTCCTGGGGTTTGAAAACTGGGGAACAAACCTCCCAACTGAGTTCTGTTAAACCGGATACAACGAGAACAAAGCAGCAATAAAGATAAGAGAGGAATGACGTCTCAGGAAAAAAACAACCCCAAACCGGTTCCTTGCTCTTGGCCTTGAAAGAACTCGGTCCTTGCCCTCCGGCCCCCATGCACATTCCCTCCAGCCCCCGTAGGCCATGAGCAGCTCTAGAGGACGAACAGAGACACAGAACCTGAGCTTAAGGAAGGCAGCGTCTCTCACACATCCACGAGGCCACAGAATAGGCTCACCTGGGAAGGAGGGAGGGCAGGTGGCTCCTCTGGTGGCCTGAGGAGCCTGCACGGAGCTCCTGTTTCCTCATCAGGGGAGCTGTGTGTACAGAGACAAAACTGAGGGGCATCTGAAGTCCTCCTAGGCTGTCAACTCACATATTAATACAAACAGAAAATAAACTCCACGAGGAAGTGGGTGCTAAGAGGCTCCTAGATGGGAGGTCCTGGAAGACCTACTTCAAAAGGGTGGGATGGAGGAGGGGCAGTGGCCTGATCACATTCAACTGCCAAGGAGGGTGCAGAGTGTAACATCAAAGGACCTAATCTGGCAGCACTTTTAAAATCCCAGGAATTGGCTCCTTACATAAAAACAGAGATTCTTTTTTTTTTTTTTTAAAGAGACAGGGTCCCTCTCTCTGTCACCCAGGCTGGAGTGCAGTAGCATGATCATAGCTCACTGCAGCCTCGAACTCCTGGACCCAAGTGACCCTCCTCCCGCCTCCAAAGTGCTGGGATTACAGGAATGAGCTACTGCACCCTGCCAAGAATGGGGACTGTCATTTGGACAGCCACTCTAGCCCCCAACATTGCACACTGTAGAGAAAGGAAGTTGTGAATACAAGAAATACGATATTGGCCAGCACCTGTAGTCCCAGCTACTCAGAAGGCTAAGGCAGGAGAATCGCCAGAGCCCAGGAATTGGAGGCTGCAGTGAGCTATGATGATGCCAACTGCACTCCAGCCTGGGCAACAGAGCAAGACACCGTCTCAAAAAAAAGAAAAAAAAATACAACGTCTAAAAAAACTGGTCAGACAGGGTTATATCTAAATAAACATGTATATTTTGTTAAAAAAAAAGGATTAATATCTGGAACTAAAATTTCAGGTAAATTCGACTTTGGAAGTGGAGCTCAGAAGAGCATGAAGATACCCTAATGGGCCTGAATTGTTCCAGGGAGGTTACAAAGGTGGGCAAAGTCTAGACATCGATAGGAAGAGTCGGTTGGAAAATTTAAAATTGGGGTGGGTCATCAGGGCAGTTTCTGGGGCGCTGGCAAGATTTCATTTTCCAACATAAATATCTTAAGTTTAAATATCTCTTTAAATATTTAAATATCTTTAAATATCTCTGTTTGCTTTATGTTTTTTCCCCTTTTCTGTGTACATGGTATTTCTTAATGCAATGTTTAAAAAACAAACGAACAAAGAAAGGGTGGGAATCCACAGAATTCACCATTCTCGTGGACTTACAAGGCTGGGTGGGCAGCAGCCATGACCATGACAGCCCAATGGCCTATCCAAGAGAGAGGAGCACAGTGACACTGTCACGTTTGTTTCAGAGGATGGCTTAGGTGTGACACACAGCCTCTCTTCACACGGCTCACACAGCAGGGCTGCCAAAGGTCCTGAGTGTTTGTGGCCTTGTGATCCAGTCATTAGTCCTAACATTGTCATGACCTAAGATCAGACAGACATATGCACACACTCCCCCCAGAAAACAGTTCTGTTGGTCGAACCAGGTGTCTCAATTTTTTTCCTGAGGAAATTTGGTAGTCCAATCCACAATGCCTTCTCTGAAGACTTAAGCTAGCAGGAATCTTGCTTCTTCTAACTCCAGACAACTCTTCCTACTTTCCCATAGTTACACGTATATGATTTAACCACTGTGGACAGACTAATCATTCTCGAGGTCTTTCTTTCCTCCCCACCAGGCTTAATTACATATTTGACGAAAGAAATGAGGAACCCAAGAATCTGTAGCAGTTAAGAGCACCGGAAATGGACGCAGCCAGAATCCCAGCCTGCCCTCACCAGCCCAGAGGCCTTGGGCAAGTCATTCCATCTCTCTAAGCCCTCAGGGTCCTCACCTGTAAACTGGGGATTAAAAAAACATATTTCACAGCTGCTGCCTGTAAAGTGCTTAGGAGCACACTGCCTGTTACATACTCATCGTTTCTCTTTTTTATTGGTTATTATTTCACAGACCAGTGACTCCTTCCATCCCTTCTTGGTTAAGGAGGAGGAGGAAGGTAGAAGAAACACAGATTTGACCAGCAGACAGATTACAAGTTTCATTCTGTAACCTTGAACAATTCAGTGTTATCTTTGCCCATGGTTAAAATGACAACCTTTCTCCACCAGCGAGGAAAGCTAAGAGAGCAAGATCTGAGGGCCCTGAGCTCCGGGGAGGGGGGAGCTCACAGCACTGGATGGGTCATGTTGGTTCACTTCCCACTGCATCCCTGGTCACTGGGCGGCTGTGTGTATCAGTGAGGAGGCCTGCTGGAATGTTCTGAGCCACCTACCTGGGGACCGCCTGTCCCGGTTCCTCCCTGCTGTGCTGTATAGAGGAAGCAGGTCCCAGCTTGCCTTCTGGCTCTTCAAGGTGACGCAAATGGTCCGACTTGGAACTCTGGGGGCCCCCATCAGAGTCTCCTAGCCTTGGGTTCTTTGGAGGTTTTGCAGGACGGATTCCTTCTCCTGGTTTAGAGACAGGAGGGAGATGAAAGGGTGGCAGGCACTGGGAGCATGCACTGCCATGGCTGGCGACCAAACTTGGCAAGGCCATTGCTGCGCCATAAGTGGGCAAGCTTATTCCAAGGGCATAAACTCCTGCTCTGTTGCACCAGGTGAGCAAAAGATGGGATAGAACCGCATCCGAGAGGTGGGACCTACAACTTTACATGGCCATGGGACTTAAGGGCCTTTTTTTTTACAGACAGGGTCTCGCTCTGTCACCCAGGCTGGTGCAGTGGTGCAATCATAGCTCACTGCAGCCTCAGACTCCTGGGCTCAAGCGATCCTCCTGCCTCAGCCTCCCGAGTAGCTGGGGCTTTTTTATCTATGGACTGGCCTTGACCAAGCTGACTCCTGAGGTGGTGTGGCCTGGCTCCAAACTACATGGGACAACCCAGTTCAGCAGACTCTCTCTGGGGAAGTGGCAAGAGATGTGTGGTGGGTCTTGGCTCGAATGGCCCTGCACAGGTGCCTTCCCTGACTTCTCCACTGAGCACCTCTTTTCTGGCCCACGGGTCTCTCGTAGTCACTTCTCGGCTTTTATGCAAGTGTCCCTTGTACTGGGTCCTCTCCTTCCCCCGCCCCCTCCACTATAACCGGGCTGCACGTGAGGAGGGGCCTCAACTGTCTCACTCTCTGCTGGGTCCCAAGTACCTAGAGGAACATCTAGTACACTGTCGGTGCTCAATACGTACTTAGCAGATGACTGAATAAACGCATGTAGAAAATGCACATTACCAGGTGCAGGCAAGTCTAAATTACATGCCACTCTAGTTTTCCGCAACACCTGCAGAATAACCATCCTGGAAAAACTGGGACCTAGAGTCACCAGGCGCTAAAGAGGCGATGTCTTGGCTACTTCTTGGTCCCTTGCATCTCTGCCCTGCCTTCCCCCTCTGTCCTGCCTTCCCCATCACTGAAAGCAACTGGGGTATGTCTTTTTCTTGGACTTGAGAGGCTAAAGGTGCTTATTGTTATCTATTTGTGGAATGAAGGAAACTCCCTTACATAGAAACTGCCAATAGTGGCTGGCTTGTAAGATCTCTCCAAACCTGGCCCCAACTTAATCATGTATTCAATGAGCAAATGATAACGGTTGATCCTAATGAGTTCCATGCTAGACACCATCCTAAGAACTTGTGTGTATTACAATAAAGTTTTGAGGTGGGGTACTGCTGTTATGCCTGCCTTACAGATGGAAAAACTGAGGCATATGCAGGCCAAGGAACCAAGACTGGGCCCCAGGCCACCTCCAGAGGCGGCACACTTAAGAGTACTTGAGCATTTACCAAACACCTTCTATGTACTGGGCTTCTGACCAGGCAGTGAGAACAAACAAAAAAAAAAAGTCAAACCAATAGCCAGGCATGTTGTTGCACATCTGTAATCCCAGCTACTCAGGAGGTTGAGGAAGGAGGACGGTTTGAGGCCAGGAGTTCGAGATCAGCCTGGGTATCATAGCGAGATCCCATCTCTACAAAAATAACTAGGCTTGGTGGTGCACACCTGTACTCCTAGTTACTTGGGAGGCTGAGGCTAGGAGGATCACTTGAGCTTAGGAACTGGAGGCTGCAGTGAACTATGACTGCACCACTGCACTCCAGCCTCGGTGACAGAGTGAGATCTCATCTCTTAGAGAGAAAAAAAAAAAAAAAGGAAAAAAAACTAGGCAGACTTTGGACTCTTTCTAACCCCAGCTCTGTACATACCTACACACCTCGAAGTAAACCCCCTGAATGAGTCCCCCTGCCCCAACATCAATTGCTAGCAACATCAATTGCTGTCCTGCGTCCTCACTCAGCCATTTGTGCTCCACTAAACCACAGTGATTTTCCTGTAATTTCTTCTAACTCAGTTACAGGGTGTGTGTGCCCATTGAGAACCTTATCCCACTGCTGTGTATTTGATTAACTCTCTGTGAGAAGCATTTTCCTTTTCCCCCTGACTATATCTTGAGGGTCCCCAGGGCAGGAGCTGAGTCTGCTGTACCCCTTGAGCTCACCCTCACCCCTGCCCTGGCCCCCCTAAGTGCCTACGCCAGCGAGCCCTGCGCCCTGAGTAAGGCTCCGATGGATGTTGCTTGCACAAACACATTCCCACCCTCTGGTCTGCCAGAAAAGGCAAATTATAGTGGCTTTGTTTATTTGGTTTTTTAAGATTCCCAAACACTTGCTCACTTGGCTGATCCGATGGACATTTGTACCAAATAAAAGGCAAAAATATCAACAGAAGCAAAGAGCCTCCTATTTCCTTCCTGTGATCTGTCCCCATGGGACTAATTTAAGAAAAAATGAGGCAGAACCTTGTGTTCGACACCACAGGCTGAAGAGATTGGAGGGGGAAATGGACTCTTTCACCACCTGCCAGAACCTTCTTCCTCTCTCCCCACCCCACCCAGGACACACAGAAAGAGCTGTCCAGGGCCAGCCCAGAGGTCCACAGAGCTGGCGAGTCCACTGCCAAGAGAGGCCCCAAATGACCTGCCGTGGGTGGGCCTGGATCTCCCCAGTTTCCCTCTCCAAGGTCAGAGAAATTCCTGTGCCTCCAAGCAGCCTGTTGTTCATCTCTGCACAAAACATTTCCAATCTGTTGATAATTTTTCTGTCCCACATCTTGGGGGAGAAAATTCATCACTGACTAAGTTAAAAAATCGTTTTTAAATTTTTAAGAAGTTACCTTAAGACAATGACAGGGAAATGGAGCCATACTATGTATTGTTGGGTGTTTTTCTTTTCAGATGAGGAAATTCTATAGGCTTATTCACAAGATGGTTACACTCTACTTCAAAGTGAAAAATGGAGGTTGCTATGGGATGATTCTATTTTCCACTAAAACCATATTTGTGTATACACAGAAGAATTCTGGGAACAAGTACTGTATTGAGATTAGAGTCTTGTTTTTCATACTTTATTACAGTTAATCATCGTCCTATGGTTGTGCTAGATGTTAACATTAGCGGAAGGCTGGAGGAAAGGTAGCTAGAACTCTGAACTATTTTTGCAATTTTTCTGTAAGTCTCGAGTTATTCCAAAATGAAAAGTTTTTTTTAAATGTCTGGAAGGATGATCGTTAACTGCAGCATACATTTGGGCACTACCTCTGGTCTGTTCTTGGTGTTTTACATACACTAATCCACACGGGAGCTCTAGGACAGGGTTCGCAACCTTGGCACTGTAGACATTCGGGGCTGGATCATTCTCTGTGGTCAGGGCCATCCTGTGCATTGTAGGATTTTGAGCAGCACCCCCAGCCTCAACCCACTAGATGCCAGCGTCACCCCCCCACAACACACACACACACACCAGTTGTAAAAACCGAAAATGTCACTAAACATTGCCAACTGTTCCCTAGGGGGCAAACCACCCCTCCCACCCGATTGAGAACTACTGTTCTAAAGGAAAGGGTAGCTGCTTGTATTATCCCCAATATATAAAAGGGGGAAACTGAGGCACAGAGTAAGTCATCCACTATCACACAGTGAGCAGGAGAGCTGGGATGAACCCAGGGTTTGGACCCCAGAGTGAAACAATCACATCAAACTCTACTTGTAGCACATCGAACTCTATTCAGGGGTCATCTTGCACTGTGTCCCTGCTCTGAAGCCTAGGGGGCCTTCTCTAAGCTGGGGGACCCCACCAGGGACTGGTGGAAGCTCCAGAAAAATTTTTATTTTTTCCTGTATGCTCTTCTCTGTAATTTCTATTTTTCTTTCTAGCGTGTATTAAATCTTTGTTTTCTTTTAAGGAGCTTGGGGCATCATGTTAGCCATTTCTGCAATAAATAAACCCATATTCCTCCTATAAGCACAAGCACCCATCAATAAATGTCAACTTGAATGAACAAAATACCTGAGGTCCGAAGCTTCTTCCTCTTACTCATTTTATCTGTCCCTTGAGAAATCTGAAAACAAGCAGAATTTCCCATCATTATAAGCAGTCCCTGTCCCTATCCAGTGGCCTTAGCTGAGGGCAGAGGCTACCCCCCACCTCCACCTCAGCCCATCTGGCTGCCCCAGCCCCAACAGGACACAGGGTGGGACACAGGATCAGAGCCCCTTGGGCCACGGCCAGGTAGGAATTCACACCTCCTCCACGTTGCAAAGAGGGGTCCAGGGTCCAAGAGGTACATGGGCCCAGACGAGTCCTCCATGGGAAGCCCTGGGGACCCCGGCTCTGGTCCCTGGGTTGAAGCCTCTCTATTCCAGGCTGGGGTACCTGGGGCCCTTCCAGGGACACTTGAGGTCTTTCCAGGGGCCATCTGGGGCCCTTCAAGGTTATCTGGGGTCTTTAGAGGGGCCACTTGGGGCCCTTCCAGGGACAGCCAGGGCCTTGGAGGGGCAGGAGTCGCCACAAGCCGATTTCTTCCAGCCTTGGGGGCCAGGCAAGCCCAAACCGACCTGGGCCACAGAAGTCGTTGAAGTCTCCCTATCCTTATCAGGAACAAAGTCTGCCTGGGCCTGTTGGGGGATAAGTCGCTTGAATTATCTGCGTTACACTTTCTTGAAAAAATAAAAGGCCAAGTTGGTCCTCGCGGAAGCCCAGGCCAAGCGTCAGGAGGTGAAGGAGGCCCGAGGCCTGGGCGCTGTGGAGCCGGCTCCTGGAGACCAGCTGCCGACTAACACCACCCTGGCAACCGAAAAGTGAGGAGTTCTCACACCGGGAGCCCAGGTGAGCCCGGAGCCCTTAAGAGACCGCTGCGCGTAGCTAACCACACGGCGACCACCGCCCCTCACACCTGCGAGCGCTCCACCTCTTTCCCGCGCCTCGCGAGGCCACGCCCCGCGCATGCGCGATGCTAGTGCCGCCGCTCACACCCGCGCACGCCCCGCCCCTCTCCTCCGCGCATCCCGCGCCACCGCCCCGCCAGGCGCATGCGCGTCCGCGCACTGCCTGCCGGGATTTGTAGTTTCGATGCGGCGGCCTCGGCTAGTCCAGTGGCCGCGTTCAGGTGCTGAGGCGACCGAAGGCCGAGGCGGAAGTAGGGCGACCAACCCGGGAAGCTAGGACACGGGGTCGCCGGTCGCGAGGCGCCGAAGAGGGGCGCAGGGCTTAGGAAGGGCGTGTGCGTGACGGTAGGCCCCGAGGGAGGAGGCAGGGGAAGGCCGGGCGCCGGGGCCAGTGGTCCGGGCATCAAGCCTGGAAGATGCACAGGAGGAAGGGACCCCCGGGACCCCCGGGCCGAGGCGCCGCCGCCGCCCGCCAGGTGAGTCTGCGCTTCACGGTCCCAACGAGGGGGATCCCTCCCTACCCTCGTCACACGCTGGGGGCAGGGCCCCCCCAAAGGGAAGTCCGATCTCCGCCCCGCCAAGCGACTCCCGGTCCCCGCCCCCCAGATGAGGCACCGCCCCCAGTGTGCGGCCTGCTGGCCTCGGCCCCCCCAGCACCTGGCGTCCTGCCCCGGGCTCGAGGCCACCTGTTGCCACAGCAGCTCCAGTCGGGGAGGGGAGGATCAGTGCTCGGACCTGGCTTGCCAAACCCTTGCACCAGTCCGGCCATGTCAGACTCCTTTTCTTCCCATTGTACATACGGGGACACTGAGGCTCAGAGAGGTGACGACATCTGCCCAAGGTCATAGGGATTAACAGCTTGCCCAGATCTAAATGCAAATCCTGAGCTACAGCCATAAGCCCACAGGACCGTGGCTGGGCCCCTTCTTACTCTCCCAACTCCTCTGCCCCAGGCATGCGGGGAGTTTGATTTTTCTCAGCTTTGATGGAAGGAGCCCAGGGCATAGCTTAGTGTTCAGATGTTCAAGTCTGGCTGACTTGAAATTCCCTCCTGGCCTCTGCACTTGGACACTTGACTTCACAGCTCTGAGCCTCAGTTTTCTCATCTGTAAAGTGGATACCTCTTAGAGACCCCCACATGCCAGGACAGTTGTGAAGATGCATTGAGATAGTATATAGAAAGTGCTAGAACATATAGCACTCCATAAATGTCATCATTATTACTGTTAGGTGGAATCATACATAATTGCCAATATTTGGCCATTTTTGACCAAAGGAAGGACAACTTCATACAGTTCAACGTAATAGTACCGCATCATGATTGGTCACTAACCAAAACAGAAAGACAGGTCTGCAGGGCAGAGACCCCACATTTGGCTTCTTCGTTGTTGTCAGGGCCTCTAATTGTTCTTAATGTTCCAGCCTTCCTGCACGAGGAGGCTGGAAGGAAGAGCCCAGGTGTGCAGAGCAGCTTTGCTTTGGCAGGGTGTGGGGCCTGCTTCTCCCGGTGAACTTGGCTAGCAGCACATCACAGGTGTGGACTCAGAGCAGGGAGCTGGGTCTCTCTGTCTGCCCTTTGCCCCATGTTGATCTGTGCCAGAAGGCCTGGCCCATCTTGGGACACCTGTTCTGGGCTTGTTCCAGCTTCCTGGCGCTCCCCCAGGAAACGGCTTTCCCCAGGAGACCTTGGTTCCTTCCTCCCAAGGAGGCTCTGGGTCCATCTCATGGCTGCCTCCGGCCTAGCGGTGCATCCCCAGGTCTGACTGGACCCTCGCTGTTCCCCCAGCTGGGCCTGCTGGTTGACCTCTCCCCAGATGGCCTGATGATCCCTGAGGATGGCGTTAACGATGAGGAACTGGAGGCTGAGTTCTTGGCCTTGGTGGGGGGCCAGCCCCCAGCCCTGGAGAAGCTTAAAGGCAAAGGTAAGATGGTTAATATACCTCTGAACGCTTTATCTCCTGCTGCGGGCTGAACTCAGAGCTGGGCGCTGGGCAGATGGGGAAAATAAGACAGATAAGACCCCTGCCCTCTGGGACCCCACGGACTAGGTAAGAAAGAGGGTAAGTGATCAACTCTGGACCCAGATGGGGGTTTGAACCCCAGCTGTGCCACTTATTGGCTGTGTTGGCCTCAGTTTCCCCATCTATAAAGTGGGAACAATAACTGTGGTTACATGACAGGAGTTAATCTTCTAGGGTCCATAAGTAGTTCACACAGGGCCACCTGACACATAAGACCACATCCTTATCAGTCCAACCCGCTGTCCCATGATCAGGTCTGGGATGTAGGGAGAGACCTGTTAGTGGCTGTGGGATTGCTAAAGGAACTACCCACCATGGAGAGAGCCAGGTGAAGAGGTAGGGAGCACTTCCGGGAGGGGTCACAGCAGGTACAAAGGCCCTGGGGCAGATGGCAGGGGATACAGGACCCTGAAGGGATCAAATAGAACTGGAGCCCAGAGGGCAAATGGAAACTTTAAACATTTTAGCGAATACAGCCAATCCTGATTGTTGGTGGATTTCATCTTTGTGAATTCACGACTCCCTCAAATTTGTTTGTAAGCCCAAAATCAATAATCACACACCCCTTTCATGGTCATTCATGGATGCACGAAGAACAGTGAAAAGTTCGAGTTGCCTGACACATGAAGTGGAACAACGCTCGCCATGCTCCGCCTTGTCCTTTCAGCTTTCATACTGTAAACAAGGGTCCCTTTGGGAGTCTGTTCAGTGCCATATTTTTCTCATTTGGGGGCTTTTCGTTGTTAATTTTGCTGTTCGCGGCTCTAGGCATAACACAGAAGGGCTGTCTAGTGTGCCTAAGCGCCAGAGGCTGCAATGTGCCTTACACAGAAAATGTGAGTGTTAGAGAAGCTTCGTTCAGGCGTGAGTTATTGAACTGTTGGCTGAGCGTTCAAAGTTAATGAGTTAACAGGCCGGGTGCAGTGGCTCACGCCTGTAATCCTAGCTCTCTGGGAGGCCGAGGCGGGCGGATCGTTTGAGCTCAGGAGTTCGAAACCAGCCTGAGCAAGAGCGAGACCCCCGTCTCTACTAAAAATAGAAAGAAATTAATTGGACAACTAAAAATATA